GCTTCAGCTTATGCAACGTGCCACGCTGCGGCGTTCATCGTGTTGCATAAGTGGGCCAGACGGCAGGCGCTCCCTAACAAGCGCCAATCAGCCGGTAATTTCATAACGCGGCGGAGGCGTCGACTCCAAGTGGCGCCCAAGGTCCCACCGTAAATTATCTCACTGGGCCGTGAAATTTTCCAAATTGATTTTCGCGGGCGTGTGGTGTCCATGGCAACTGCTTCTTGCCAAAAAAGAGAGAAGAACAGAAAGCAAAAGCAAAATGATTGTGTCAAAAAAATGTGGAAATTTTTGTAATTCGATGTGCACGCGGAGAGCACTTTGGCACGCGTTGGCCCCGATCCGGGAGCTGACGACGGCAGCACCTTTTTGGAGTGGCCCGCCGTGCATAATGGCATCTCTCCATATTGTGTATCGTCATCACAAATTAGCCACCGAGTTTATCGCTCGAGTGCTCTGTCAATAATTTCAAGCTTCGCACCCCAACAAATATGATAGGCGGAAAATACCCTCGCACTAGATTTTCGGTTCCTTTGATTTCTTCCCCTTCAGAGAAACAGACGATTTGATTCAATTTTTTCCCCGTCCCCGGAGAGTAATTTCGAAAAAGCGCGTCTCCGGCTGAGCGTCTCATTTTGAGCGACAGATGAGAGAGGGCAGAACGCACATTACACGCCAATCTCGGCGCGCGCACTTGTTAGTGCAGGGCCAAAGTAATAGGTGTCGGGCTCTTTCTCTCCGGCCGTCCGGTCCCCTCGCGAGCCGCCGCTCTCTCGAGCTAACCACAAAGGGCCCAGCCGGCCAAATTGCGGGCAATTAAGTAATTGGAGAGGTTTATTTTAGATTTTCCACCGCACTCTCTGCTGCGCTCTCTCATCCTTCTGCTCTTGAGGTCGAGGATAAAATGACAAAGGCCCAGCAACAACTTTCACTATGCACCAACAGATTTCAGCTCCAAATTTGTGTTTGCTCATTTTGATATTTAAACTATAGCAATTTGGGCTGCAATGCAACAAGTTGAGAGATATATATCACCCTATGGTAATTACTTTGCAGCAGAAAGCAGTTAATTAAATTTTTTAGTAGATTTGGGGGCCAATAAAATGAATGTAATTTAATTCAAAGGTAGAGAAGATAAGCCATAATTTGAATTAGTTCCAAAATGTATTTCAAAAGTATCATAAAATTATTTATTATTTAAATAGATTATTTTAAAGTCATTCTTTGAGTTTGTAAAATGTATTGAAAGATATTATTTCGATATTTAATAAAATATAAAAACAAGCTAAATTAGATAACAAGTAATTAATTAAAAAAATTGTGTAATATAATTTAGATGTTTATTTTTAAATTTATTTAAAAACTGAACGTGAAGCATAAATTTATTTAATTTAAATGCTTAGTTCCTTCCTCCTCCGCGTTTCCAACCTTGGGATTTCCAACATTGTCCCTATCGCCTCTAGGGGAGAGCGTTGCGGAAAATGAAAAAAACGCCGTCCTCATTTCATTACATGCGTTTACAGATGCCGCGGCAATTAAAAAGTCAGCTTTTGTTTGTGGCCCACCGGAGTGATTCAACTTTGGCAAAAAGAGCGGCGGCGGCAAAAATATTTTTCCTGTGTGATGAGCTGGACCCCCTTAGGCCCCAAGACAACCTTGTCGAGGTCACCGCGTGGTCACTAACCCTGGTGTGCCAATTACAATCTGAATCACTGGCGGCACTTAAAACAAACACAAAAGAGCAACGAGTGCCGCGCCGACTTTTTTCCTCCTGCCGGTTTCTTTCTTTTTTTTTACCACCGCAGCCGTCGTTGTGAATAATATCGGTTTTATATTTTATTGCAAGCGCTCATCAATCACACGCAGGAGCTCTGCTCAGTTCGACCCGCGAGGGCAGTTATTTTTGGCCCACATTATCATCATTGGTGCTGACAAGGCTTTGGCGATAGAAATTTTGATTGTTGAAAAGTGGAGCGGCATCGTAGCCAAGGGCTGTCAATTTGAAATTTCTGCTTCAAAGGGAAATTTTTATTGACAACCTATACATCTATACTATATTGATGGGAAATATTGAACGAAAATAATGACCAATCTTTAGGTATAGGAATATCATTTTTTTTAATTTTCAGGTTGCAGTTTCCTGTTTTTACTCTAATTAATTTTTTATGGTTGATAATGTTGATATAGAGAAATTTTTTTTAACAATTAGCAAATTATAAAAAATGGGGAAAGTTTAAGAGAATAGAAGGGATTCTATTGCTCTGCATTAATCATTAAAAAAAGTTGTGCATTTTGGAATACCCTAACCACATTACCATTAACCGCAAATCCCCACAAAAAGCTTAAGGACTTTGTGTACATAATTAAGGAAACAAAATTTTAAAAAGGAAATTCAGCTACTTTTTAAGGATTCTTGCTTGATGGTAAATTTAATGTCCTTTAAAAAGACGCTTAGTTTGCTTTATAAATTCTAATGTGCCGATGTGAGGAAAAAGAAATTCTCATCAATCAAATGAACTTTTATCAATGTCAACTTTGAATGAAGTTGAGAACATTTTCATCAAATATGAATATATTTGATTATGTTGATATGAGAACATTTGTTTTACTGGGGACACTTCCTCTTATTTTTCTTGATCCTGCATCAACTGCATTTATCTTAAATCTTTTCGTAATAACATTTCCCCAAAATAATTGAGTTCTATTAAAATGATTCTTTGAAATTTGTTGCAAAATTTATTGATAGAAAAATTTTATAATGGTGGATCACAGGATTAATGTTTTGTTAAATAGCGATAGCAACAATATTATGAAAAACAGAATTTTTTGTTTATCTACTTCCTAAGCGAATGAAATGAATATTGACATGAAAGCAGAATCAAAAATAGTTAATTTTGTATTAAAAATTGAATCAATATACACTTTTTACAGTTATTTGTCCACAAGATCGTGAGAAAAATTGTAAAATAAATCAATGTCTGCTTATATCAGAGTCAAAAATTACATTTTTGATCCAAAGGTAGAATAATATATGGTTAAAAATCGCTTTTTAAGTATTTTATTTTCTATTTTGCACTGAAAAGTAGATCATTTTGCTATTCGAAACTCCTTGTATGTGAACACTACTTATAAATAATGATGTATGGACATTACATTAAAGCGCCGATGCACGTGTACATTCGCCGTAACAAATTCGTCACTTATTTTCTCCAAATCCGCGTCAAAAAGAGGCCATTAAGGTGCATTTTTTTAGTATTCCGTTGGTGAGAGAAAAATTCTGATAGGAATTTAAAGCAGCTCTCGGCTCATTTTCGCTCGGCGCGGAAAATCCTCCACGCCTGAAAAAGTGTCAGCACGTCCATATCTGCAGCGAGTGACCAACTTTCGCGACGCAAGTAGAAAAAATTCAGTGCAGACGGTGTGACATGGAAATGTGACATTGTCTCATCAAGTTCGTTCACCCAAAATATAATTGCAGGAGCGAGAGAGAGGCAGTAGCAAACCGCTACATAATAATAATGCTGCCCATCTTTCTCTCTCTCTCGACAGTTACCCAACCATAAAGTGACCACAAATAATTTACCCAAAGACAAAAACACGCTGGCGGCGCGGAAACGGAAAATTTAACAGACTTTCTTTATATTATTTTTTTCTCTTTTCTCGTCGGAGCAAATGTAATAATTATTTTGTATCAGAGAGAGGAGAGCGGCGACAGACTTTATTCCTTTTTTTTTCGCGAATCCCACACGATATGGCTGCTGCTCGAGCGCATTATTGGACATACCTCTCGGCCACGGCCAGACCAATCGACTCCGAGAACGGCCTCTTACATTCATTAAAACAAAGATGGTGTATAATCAATTAAGAAGGAATGACACTCATTGGTGGTCCCAAGCCTCGCCGTGGGCACAATTTTCTTTCACTCGCGGAGCCCCAGACACAATCCGCTGAGGACATCTACCGCGCCTTTGACGCCCAGACCCACTCATTGCTTTTTAACTCTGCACAAGAGGAGCAGAAAGAAATTCTTAATTCTGCTTATTCAAATTAATTATTTATATATCATCTTTACTACAATTTTTGATTGTATCAGGAATTTTACATGATCTAAATGAAGAGATTTTTTTTTAATTTGAAGATAATGCAATTTGTCAAAATTTGAGCACTATACAGGTACTTTTTGCGATGATCTGTATTAATTTTGATTCAATATTCAATTACATAATGATATTCTTCAGCCCTTCGTCACCACAATCCAATTTGATTTCTATATTAATATATTTTAGCATACAAATCATATTTTTTCTGCATAAAACATTAAGAGAAACATCATAATTAAATATATTAATTGTGTTCCTGTTGTGTTCTAAATAAAAAGCGCAAATTTTACTACAGCTTTAGCATAAAAAAAAATTAATTAAAAGTTTAAATAAATAACAAAAAAATTGTTTTAATTTTTAAGCAACTTTTATTTTGTTTTTCTTTGTTTTATTTATGGCAAAAAAAGTTTACTTTATTTAAAATAATTAAATTAAAGTTAAATGACTATATTTTCGATATTTACATTAATTTCTACTTTTACTAAATTTTGCAAATTTAATTTAATGATGAGCTATGCTGATTGTGCAATGAAATCACATTATTGTTATAGGGTTAGTATGACTATATGCAAAAGTTTTCGTCTGTTAAAATATTGTGTATAAATGTGGTGTACAATTATTAAATTGCTTGCGCTAGGTCGTCACACGATTGTATATTGCTATATATTCTATCAGTTGAATCGAAAAAATTAATTGATGAAAAAGGTGTCAAATTTTATGACTTAACTATATCAAAATTTCAACACTGTGATATTTTTTTAAATTTAAAATGAAGCAGATATAATTCCATTTAATGTTTGTTTTTTGAGAATTTAAGGGAAAATAATAATTCAAAGTTTTTGATTCCAGTTTCTCCCACATCTTAACAATTCGATCAAGATAATTGAAAATGGTACTTACATTCCGAGCACTCGCTTGAAGCTGCCTCCATCATAATAGCGTTATCCTTTTTGAGCGGAGGATTTCCAACAACTTTTTGGATAGCTGTAAATTTTAGAAAAAACCAAATAAAAATCACAGATTGATATTTCCAGCAAAGGTTTAAAAGAGCAAGAAGTGTGCGGAAAATTTGGTCTACTGAATTGATTTCCAGAGTCTATTTTCAGATTTGGTGAACCTCTTTTGAGAATGGAAGAGAAAAAAGTTCAACAAATCTGCCAGTTTCGAGCGAGAGAAAATAAGCTTTCGAAGGAAAATATTAACAGTATCATAAGAGAGATTTGATGTAATTGTCTCTTTAATTAAGTGACAAGAATAGAATAAATATTAATTTGGATTCGGAAAATGAATCAGAAGACAGAGTTTGATTTAGATTTTAAATTTTGATTTCAAAATAATTAAATATAAATTATAGAAGCGAAGAATGATGAAAAGAAGAACTAAATTGTAATTGTAAATCATTTATTTTGAAAAAACAAGCCAAAAATTTCATTTAAGTTCAATGATTTATTTAGCATAATTTTTTAATTTTTCAACAAATTACTTTTTTCCAATTTTGTATTAGCCAATACGTCTCGTTTTGCTGAAATAATAGATATTGCCGTTTTTTTTTTTAAATTTCGTTCATATTTTATTTTCACCGCTGCATATTTTCCAGCATGCAAATCCTACCTTTGCGAGCCATTTTCTGTACATGTGACGACATGTCAAAGTTTCGCCTGTCTCCATTCGAGAAGTCTGCAACAAGTTGAGCGAATTGAACAATCGAGTAACCTGCGCGCCGTTTAAAATCGAATTTCTGCACTTTTTAAGGCGGCCACTTTAGGACAGCGAGTGTAATTATGTCGTAATTTTATTCGACATAAAAAAGAGAACGCCGAGCGTGAGGTGCGTCCAGTGAGCTGCGTGTGTGTGTTGTTTAATAATTCAATTCAGAATTCGCCGTCTGTGCTCTCTCGCAGAAAAAAAAACTTTGCGGTCGGCGGCTCTTTTAGGTCGGCAAAATCTCTTTCATCCGTCCATATTCTCATCGTCATTGGCGGGCCAAAAATTCAGGTGTTTGTGTGTGGCAAGAAATGGCAAAACACACTCGGCAGTAGCCAGACCCACAGACCGGTAATGAAGTAATAATTCTTCCTCGCGAGCTTTTTGCGGCCGCGTGCAAAAAAGGGTCGCGCAAACAAAAAGGTCAAGGGGTTAATGAAGCGTTAGAAAGTCTCCGTCGGCCGGGTGCAGGTTGCGCAAAATCGGCGCGGTGTGATTAAAGAAAAGCCTCGGCTAATCGCGTAATTTGCCTCGGAATTGATAATTGTCTGTTGAAAGAGCTCGCTCTCATTACGAGTCATAAAACTGACCGCAAAAAGAGAAAGATGCTTCAAAGCCAAAGCAAAAATTGAAGCCGCTCATATTGCACAGCAATCATGGATCTTCACGTCCTTCTTGTACTGGAAAAATTGTGCAAATTTTTTTGGGTCCATCAGATGCAAAAATTCAAAAGAAATATGGGCTTTTGATTTCCGGTGTGAAATTCAAATGAGAAGGTTGAATGAAAGGAGCAAGGACGAAGCCTTGAAAAACTTCACTAATTCAAATTCCATGGCTTCATTATTAGGTCTAATTTAATAATCTATTTATTATGCAGGATTCATTCTATAATTTAATAAATGTTTTTAAGAAGCGTAATTTTATTTTCATTTATAATAAAGACAGGTCAAATTGTGAAATTTTTAAGCAAAAATCTAATGAATAATGATTTTCCAATTAATTAATCAAAATTAATCTTTCTATCACATTTAATTACTAAACATATTTCAATCGTAAATCATAACATGAAAATTTGGGTGTGACTAAAAAGACTAAAAATAGGCTTTATATTCATCCACCTGCACATTCACCTCATTGTAAATTCAAAGGTATTTTGAGTGTGGAAATTTTAATAATTTCTTTTTTATTTTCAAGAAAACATTCTTTACTTTTAGTTTTAACTTACATTTCGACGTATGTTATTGAAGAATCTTGGAACAAACAAAAGTTAATGAAACCATTAAACATAAATTTATTTAATTTGAAAGAGAGACCCCAGAAATATACTAAAGCAGAAATTTATCTTAAACGTTGATAAAATTTGTGGAAATTAAAAAATATAAATTTGATTAACAATAGCATAGTGGATAATTTCACTAGTTTATTTAATATTTCTGCATTACAATTTGAAAAAATTGCAACAATGAATATTAATATCTAAAAGATATGCTTTAAAGCCTTTAAAGCACTTTAAAGCCTACTAATTTTTCATTGACACGCAGGTTGCCTACACGTGTCTGGTGGAACATAATAAAATATCTTATGAAATATTTATTTTATTTCATGATTCTTTAATAATCCTAGGTAAAATCGAAAACATCCAATGAAATGAGTTTTTTCTTCTTTTAATGGCGTTTATACTTCAATTCATTTAATAATAAGGATATCAAATTTTAAACAGAATTCTACTTCTATGTAATTTGGCAAACTGTAACTGATATTTTTAAACGTCAAGCTACACAAGAATTATAAACTGAAGCAAACACGAGTCAAAAGCCAGAATGAATTAAATGTGAGGGCTAAAAACAACGTACGTGTGTATGTAATTCTGCCAAAAGATATGTCACAAACTCCAACAAAGCTACGGCATTTTAATTGGCCGAGCGTCACGAAAAAAAAAAACAACACACTAAACTTCAAATTAAAATTAGCATTGGCGCGTCAGGTGTGCGCGTACCTGAGGGTTGGTGGCTCATGGCCCGTGTGATCCGCGACCGGCGTCGTGTTTTCGTCGGTCAACTTAATGGTGTTACGGGGAAGAACTGCGTGCGGAGGCAACACAGCATCTCAGCAGCGAGTCGCGGGCGTGATCTCTCTGGGGCGCGCGAGTTGGCCATTGTGGGATACTCGGACTGGGCAGCGTGCCAGTAATTCACGCACGCAGCTAGCCAGTATGTATTTTTATACGTATAGAGCTGCTTTTACTATCAACGTGTTTGTTGAATTCCCCTGGCGAGAGCGCGAGACGAACGCATCAACAAAAATAAATATTTTGATGCAATATCCGCGTGTGTCTCTCAGCGGCCGCCACTCAATCTGCAGCGTTCAAAAATGGAGGAGCAAAATGGGTCAAGGGGAGAAGTTAATTTTTCAAGAGGCTTGTTTGAAAATCTCCTTGTTATGCCCAATCTTCTGTGAAACCTGTTTAATTCGTCGAAACTAGAAAAAGTGCGGAATGGGTGCCAAGAGAGTAAAATCAGAGTGTTGACAAAAATAATTCTCGGTTTTTTGGCATAAAAACGTTACTATTTTTGTTTCGGAATAAAAGGTCAGATCACTCAGCGCGGGAAAATAATCAAGAGAAACACTTTAAAAATAAATGGATTCCGGCGGGTCAGAGTTTATCTCATTCGAAAAAGCTGCGCTTCCGTTTCTGTAAACACGGCGAAATTCCACGGACATTGCGCGCCTATTTGTTTGTTTGAAAACCGGCCTGCCCGTTTGATCTTGCATGTGCGCCTGGCTTGCCAAACAAAAGGAGTTCTCTCTTATTCGCCCTCAATAGACCACTAAAAATCGAAAACTGTTTTAATTCTCTTGTCGAGTGGAAGAAGAAGAAGTTCCTCTGGGGAGGAAGTGCTGGAGTCGTAAAATAGCAAGTTGTTTCTATTTAGCAAACATGCGTGCAGCGAGCGCACCCTTGTTTTGCTCTGTCTAAAAGTGAACGCGCGCGCACCTATAAACACACGACATGCCGTAAATTAGGCGCATATGTAAGCGCCGCAGTTTATGAAATTTCATCGCCAAGCGCTTTGCGCTTGCAACTCTTAATATCGCACGCGGACGCGCCTTTCAAACAGTTGGACGCAGGCCAAGAATGTGAAAACCATACTCTATTTTAAACGGTTAATATCAATTAAATTAACTAAATGGACAAACGGCAGGAATGAGATTATTTTATGATCTACAAAAAATTACAAAATGTTGAAGGGCATTGAAATATAAGCATTAAATTTGCAAAATAGTTATGAATGCTATTGTTTTCCCCTTTCTCTCTTAAAAAAAATAAATAAATAGAGGTTTGATTAATATTGTAGTTTATATGACTAAATAATTTAAAAAATTCTTAGAAAAAAATCTTGTGTCCAAGCAGTTTTATTTTTTTTTCAGCTGGAAACCTTGAAACAAATTTGCATAAAATTTTGGACCTTGAAGACTTCAGTAATTGCGCTAATTTTTATTTTATTTCTATTTATTTGCTGTAAACCATTTGCTTTTGAAATATGCAGATTCAATGTAAATTTATTCTACAGATAATTGGAAATGATGATATTATAATATTGTAAACGTTTTTTTCTCTCCTTAAACATTTTTCATGAAATGTTTCAATTTGTTAAGTTAATGATTAAAGGCAATTCATTATTATTACTCATTACCATTGTGTTTTAGCACAAATCCTCCATAATTATTTCTTATAAATTGTATGAAATTGTTGATCTCGGATTAATTACACTTTTAATACTATTAAAAAATAAAAAAATTTAGCACCAAATGGACATTTGGACAACTTTAAATTGTGATTAATCACAATGTTGAATGTAACCAAACCATAGACAGCGTTTGAACATTATTTATTTTTTTATTACTTAGGAATTTAATTTGTACCAAAAAATATACGCAAGCATAACCCCGAAAAATATTTTAACTTAAAAAATTATAGTAAAATAGACAAAATTTGTAAAATGAATTATTTATGGCAAAATTTATTAAGAAGTAATAACAAATACGTTATAAATATAATATTTAAAATAAGAATTAACATATTTTTTTTTTTGGTACTTTTTAGTTGCAAAGAATATTATTTTTAGTGTTGGGAAATAAGCATCAAATAAAGATTAAAAAATTTTCTTTCAAGACATTATGTGTTCACTGTGGCAAAAAAAATTATTTAATTCAAACTGTATTTATGGTACTGGTTTCAGTTTGAAGTTATCCAAATGAGTTAATATACATAAATAGTATTGTAATATTTTGCTTTTTTTCAATACTAAATGGTAATGTTTGGTTTTGTTGACTTTTTATATGAATTTTAAATGGTTGTGAGAAAAATCATTTGTGGTGAAAATATTGAGCCATACTTGACCATTCCTGAGCTCGGTCCAAAAATAATCTTGAGCGGCGGCGATGCAGCTTTCGCCACCGTGTCATCCTCTGAATATAGCCACGCAGGAGAGCAGGGCGGTTATGCAACCGGCGGTGACTGCGGCAGGAGCTTCGTCTCGGATGTACACGCGTCCCGATAGGCGAGAGTCGAGCAACTGGGACGATTCGCGCTGATAGACAGAAAATATACAATAAACAACGAGAAGAAGTCTTTTAATTATTTAGCCGAAAAACGCGCTGCGAGAGCAACCGAAAATGAAAAGCGGTGGGAGAATAATAGGAAATTTTCGGTTCCAAAGAAAATTCCTGCTTTTTGCTGAAAAATACTTGAGGTGCCTCTTTATTATATTTTGGCCGTCATCATTGTGCAATTAACTAGTCTCGGAGTGAGTGTGTGTGTTCTAATAATTCGCTCTCTCAACACAATTATACGCCAACGAGAGGGACCTTGAGTTTTCATTTGCCAGTAGCACTTCATCCTTTCCGATGTAATTTTGTATCACTTTTTAGCATTTTTACCTTGCGCGCATACAAATTGAACAATTGGCACCTCTTATTTGGTCTCGACGCAGTCAACAACCAGCAGCAGAATGATGATCATTATCATCGCAGCGAACGCGAAATTAAGAAAAAATGTTGCGGCGGAAAGAAGCAAAAAGAGGCGCGCAATTAAAAAATACCTACCTCGTGTGCCGCCGCCGCCGCCCGTTTATATCAATTTATGCACATAAAGGAGAAAACAAGAGACTTTTTTGGCAGGAACAAAAAGTTGTTAAATTAAATCAGAGATCACTTTGATTAAGCTTGACCGCTGCCTTTCTCTATCTCTCTCTTTCTTGGGATGTACTGAAATAGACCTCTTTTAATTATGTTAATGGCTCGTGGCGGACTAGCAGCTGAGAGTTATATTTCAAAGCCATTTCCATATAATATTGTGCTCCGTTTCATCAAATTAAAGGTTAAGCCCAGATTTAAACTTTGGACTGCCAAAATCGCTTTGGGCAAAGACTATGATTGTTGAAAACAAATGCTTTATTACGTTTTAATAAAATTTATTGTTAACATTAAATTTAACCAAACAATCTTTATTAATTTGATGTAATTTAAAATTTTTTTTATACAATAAAATTAAAAAAATAAATTTGTTTATTTATTTTTATAAAAATGTTATACCAATCTTATTTAAAATATTTTTACTTTTTTGCTTGAAAGTTGATAGTAGTTTTGAGTGTAATTTTTAATTATATTTTTAGTTTATAAATAATTTGGGAATCTGCTGTGATCTAGCAAATGATAATATAATTATATTTTCTGCGTTGTATTTTAAAGTCATAGGCATTGAATCGAATTAATTATTTCTTAATGTTGTTTGAATTGAATGAGTTTCTAATTTTTAATATTGAAATTTGAGTGATTAGAATCGTTAATTGTTTGGTCGTGGATAAAAAAATTATTTCAACAGAATGTATCATCAAAAGAAAGATAAATCCTGTTCTTTTTTTTTAAACCTTGAGCTAACTCATAATCTATTAAAATAAAAGTAAAGAATAATATTTATTTTGAAAATAAAAATATATTACAAATTTGAAAATAGACGACCGATGGGAACAATTTTCATCTCATCAAATCATTTAATGACAAAAAGTTAAATAACAGAGAGAAAAGTTCCACTTTTACTTGAAACAACAAGGATTTAATATCATTTCATCATTATGCATAGAATATAATATGGAAAATAAATATTAATGGAGCAAAAAATTCAAGATTGCAATGGTAAAATTTGTTTCGTAAAAAAAACCGCGTTGTTGTACTCAATTTCTAAATATAAGGGCTTCAAATGCTTGTATAGTTTTTAAACTTTTTCAAGGAACTTTTTATTTATTTATACTAAAAATTATTTTACTCACTTAAAATAAAAACGGCACTGGTCCAGATGTCCCCCTCAACTTGTTGGCCAAAATAGCGGCGCGAAATCTGTGTCTAGACCACACGCGCGCACTTAACTTTCTTGCAGACAGATAGACGACGAGGCGCTTAATAGATTTCCGTGTATTTAGCCTGCGATGGTGAGTGTCCGGCGCGTTTTCACAGGATTTTCTCGCTTTTTCCCTCAAACGAGGTTAATTTCTCGGTGTCGCAGATTACGCATTAGGTTTTCCTCGACAATTAACAATCATAAAGTGATAATTGCACGCGTATAGTTCGCACTTGTCTCTCAGTCAGCGTGTTAGTAATGAGCCGGGCAATTACGAGTCGCCACATTATTAGACCCCGCTTTATTGTGCAAGTACGCAAAATAATTATTGACAACACCCGGCGATTATCGGCCTGCACAAATAAGTTGTAATAATTTCTCATTTGCCAAGATAATAATCTTCGTTCGCTCTCGAAATTAACAGTTAGCACCGGGGTCGAAAAATTGCACGGAGCTGCTGCTGCGGGTAAACCACACGCTCATTATTGCTGCGTGTCCGAAATTAAAAAAGGAAAAAAATCACGACCCCGGCGGGGACTGTTATATTTGACCAGGAAAACGGAGATCAAACAAAATTCACCAAATTTTTCTAGGAAAAATATTTCCAAAAGTAAAAATAAATCGTCTTGATTTCCTCTACTTCTTTTAAAAATATGACAAGCGTTTTTAAAAATTTAATTGAAATATTTTTATTAATAGCATAGTATAAAAAGCTAGAATGGATTT